AAGACCTGCACCAGCTTCGTGAAGAGAGACCTGCACCAGCTTCATGAAGAGAGACCTGCACCAGCTTCATGAAGAAAGACCTGCACCGGCTTCATGAAGAAAGACCTGCACCAGCTTCGTGAAGAGAGACCTGCACCAGCTTCATCCACGCTAGGCGCAGCTCTTATCACTGGCTCAGTGTCATTTCATTTGACCAAATGTCTTGTCACCTGTCAGAGATTCCATTCAGATCTCCCTCAGGAATAGCATGTAGAGGTTTGAATGCTAAATGTGTGTCATTTCTCACAGGATATAGACCAACACTAGGGATGTCCCGATCACCTTTTTTTGCTCCCGATCCGATTCCGATCATTTGATTTTGACAATCTGCCGATACCGATTTTTCCCGATCCGATCTTTATGCAATGCATTAAGAGGAAAAAAAAGGTAACAGATAACGGCTGGTCATCCAACGCGATGAATTCAGCTATCTTGGCTGTTATTTTTTTGGCCTTTTCACTGTTCTGGGGTAGTTTCTCTTTCCTTTTAAAAGTCTCTGAAAGTGTCGGTTGTTTCAGTGCCGTTACCTGAGTGGCCGCTGTGTACTCGTCGTGTTGTTGTTGGTGGTGTTTGTATTAGATTGGTCATGTTGAACGTAGCTCTGTTCTTTCCACCACGAGGAACCTCCGCCTTGCAAACATTGCATCTGGCTGTTACACTGCCTTCGCTTTCAATTTTATAATACTTCCAAACTCCTGACATTTTCTCTGTCCCGACTCCCGAGTCACCAGCTGAACGTAGCCTCTCGTTAGCTTACTGCTACTATTAGACACTGCGCCCACTCTGTTGCCAGATTTGAGAGAAATAAGCAACCAGGTCTATGAAAACAAGCCCAAAAGAAGCAACACATACATGATGTTGTGTAATTTTAACCCAAAACTAAGGCCTCAGGATGACTTTAAGACGTGAACATGGTCATTTTTGTTTTGTAACATTAAATAAAATGTATAAAAATATTTTATAAAAAAAAAAAAAAAAAAAAAAAAAAAAATTCCGATCCCCGATTTTTTTCTCCCGATCCCCGATCACGTGAAAATCACGTGATCGGCTCCGATCCCCGATCACGTGATCGGATCGGGACATCCCTAACCAACACAGTGTGTATCCAGTGCTTCAGCTCTGCAGACCAACAGTGAGATGTGAGCATGCTCCTAATTGTGTTGCGATGCAGCCTACTGTAGGTCTGGTCTGTTTATTAAAGCAAATCTGCCACTTTTATATTGTAGAATTTGTTCAATTAAAGCAGTCTTTAATTGTTTGTCCTAAACACAGCAATATATGCTTTTGAAATGTAACATGTCTTTGAGTAAATAACAGTATACAGTTTGTGTTTCACCTTTAGCTTGAAATACGTTTTTTATATATCAAATAAATAAATAGGCAGACAGACGCTTTATCGATCCCAAATGGGGAAACTATTTAACAGCAGCAGTGTGCTCAGGTGTTCAGGTGTTAGGGTGTTCAGGTGTTCAGGTGTTCAGGTGTTAGGGTGTTCAGGTGTTCAGGTGTTCAGGTGTTCAGGTGTTAGGGTGTTCAGGTGTTAGGGTGTTCAGGTGTTCAGGTGTTCAGGTGTTCAGGTGTTAGGGTGTTCAGGTGTTCAGGTGTTAGGGTGTTCAGGTGTTAGGGTGTTCAGGTGTTCAGGTGTTAGGGTGTTCAGGTGTTAGGGTGTTCAAGTGTTAGGGTGTTCAGGTGTTAGGGTGTTCAGGTGTTAGGGTGTTCAGGTGTTCAGGTGTTAGGGTGTTCAGGTGTTCAGGTGTTAGGGTGTTCGGGTGTTCGGGTGTTCGGGTAGCAGTGTGTTCAGGTGTTCAGGTGTTCAGGTGTTAGGTGTTCGAGTGTTAGGGTGTTCGGGTGTTCGGGTGTTCGGGTGTTCAGGTGTTCAGGTGTTTCAGGTAGCAGTGTGTCCGGGTGTTCTGGTGTTCAGGTGTTAGGGTGTTAGGGTGTTAGGGTGTTAGGGTGTTAGGGTGTTAGGGTGTTAGGGTGTTAGGGTGTTCGGGTGTTCGGGTGTTCAGGTGTTCGGGTGTTCAGGTGTTCGGGTGTTCAGGTGTTCAGGTAGCAGTGTGTTCAGGTGTTCAGGTGTTTCAGGTAGCAGTGTGTTCAGGTGTTCAGGTGTTCAGGTGTTCGGGTGTTCGGGTGTTCAGGTAGCAGTGTGTTCAGGTAGCAGTGTGTTCAGGTGTTCAGGTGTTCAGGTAGCAGTGTGTTCAGGTGTTCAGGTGTTCAGGTGTTCAGGTAGCAGTGTGTTCAGGTGTTCAGGTAGCAGTGTGTTCAGGTGTTCAGGTGTTCAGGTGTTCAGGCAGCAGTGTGTTCAGGTAGCAGTGTGTTCAGGTGTTCAGGTGTTCAGGTGTTCAGGTGTTCAGGTAGCAGTGTGTTCAGGTGTTCAGGTGTTCAGGTGTCCAGGTGTTCAGGTGTTCAGGTGTTCAGGTGTTCAGGTGTTCAGGTGTTCAGGTAGCAGTGTGTTCAGGTGTTCAGGTGTTCAGGTAGCAGTGTGTTCAGGTGTTCAGGTGGTCAGGTAGCAGTGTGTTCAGGTGTTCAGGTGTTCAGGTGTTCAGGTAGCAGTGTGTTCAGGTGTTCAGGTGTTCAGGTAGCAGTGTGTTCAGGTGTTCAGGTGGTCAGGTAGCAGTGTGTTCAGGTGTTCAGGTGTTCAGGTGTTCAGGTGTTCAGGTAGCAGTGTGTTCAGGTGTTCAGGTGTTCAGGTGTTCAGGTGTTCAGGTAGCAGTGTGTTCAGGTGTTCAGGTAGCAGTGTGTTCAGGTGTTCAGGTAGCAGTGTGTTCAGGTGTTCAGGTAGCAGGTGTTCAGGTGTTCAGGTGTTCAGGTGTTAGGGTGTTCAGGTGTTCAGGTGTTCAGGTAGCAGTGTGTTCAGGTGTTCAGGTAGCAGTGTGTTCAGGTGTTCAGGTAGCAGTGTGTTCAGGTGTTCAGGTGTTCAGGTGTTCAGGTGTTAGGGTGTTCAGGTGTTCAGGTGTTCAGGTAGCAGTGTGTTCAGGTGTTCAGGTGTTCAGGTGTTAGGGTGTTCAGGTGTTCAGGTGTTCAGGTAGCAGTGTGTTCAGGTGTTCAGGTAGCAGTGTGTTCAGGTGTTCAGGTAGCAGTGTGTTCAGGTGTTCAGGTGTTCAGGTGTTCAGGTGTTAGGGTGTTCAGGTGTTCAGGTGTTCAGGTAGCAGTGTGTTCAGGTGTTCAGGTAGCAGTGTGTTCAGGTGTTCAGGTGTTCAGGTAGCAGTGTGTTCAGGTGTTCAGGTAGCAGTGTGTTCAGGTGTTCAGCTGTTCAGGTAGCAGTGTGTTCAGGTGTTCAGGTGTTCAGGTGTTCAGGTGTTCAGGTGTTCAGGTGTGTAAAGTTGTAATAAAGTGTAAACAGCACCAGTCTAATGCAAAGAGTCCGATGTGTTCATGAAACTCTCCAGGAGGCACCGACACTAACGTGGCCGAGTGGACTCCAGAGTTTGCTGCATGAGTTGCACTGTATGATCTGTGGTGTAGTGGGCTGTCACTCAAAAACAGAGTAGCCAATGGGGACGCACCCCTGAAAGTCCCGCCCACCTGGGACGTTTGTGTCAGAATCTCAAACAGAAAATGAGGGAGCTGCAGCGAGAGCAAAAGTCTGATCGTTGAGAAAGAAGAAAGAGAACTGCAAACAAAGAGATGTGTTACAACAAATAAAATAGACTTATAGTTCACATGAGTACACAAATGATTTGTTTTAAATGAAATGTATTTAGCTTGACTCAGTTTTCTTTTCTCTTAAACTCTTAGTTTTGCTTGACTCTGAGAAAGTGTTGCTTTGTCTTTAAGACACCAAACTAATCCCATAGTCATGTAGCTTCTGACATGGAGAGCAGTGTTTCTCAAAGTGTGGTCCGTGGACCCCTAGTGGTCTGTGAGTATATTGGTAACATTCCACATTTGAAATAAGCAAATCCAAAATGTTTCTGAAATAGTTTCAAAATGCCTAGTATAGGAGCAACAGAGACAAACAGCCAATGAGTGCGTAAACAATGCTAAATAAATGGAACAGAATAAATCATTAAAGTGGACCTATCATGCTATATTTGAATAATATAGTGTAGGACCATACCTATATAAGGCATATTTATACTTTTTTTTTTTCAAAATACCAAACAGATCATGCATTTTAGCCTTGCCTCATTTTGCTCAATTTGACCATTTTTAGCTCTGTTTTAGCAAGGGCTGATTCAGTGAGAACAGCACCACCTACAGGCCTGGCATATGTACTACAGCGTCTCCAGCGCTTTCGAACGGCAATGGCCGTGGCTGTCTCCTCCTGATTGGTGGAGTTGGCCCAATAGCCGTAGCGCCACCGTCCTGACGTCAGGACAGTGTTCAAATCTGGATCAGTTTTTATCAGATCCGTTGCAGCCCCTTTTTTAGAGATTTGGGTATGGAGGAAAATAGAGAGGGTTGTGTTTTCTGACACTTGGTGAGTTCCCTGGAACACCGGGGACACATATTCATGTAGAAAAGACGTACAAAAGTGCATTTTGCATGATAGGTCCCCTTTAACTTTAATGTTGAGTTCATGTTAAACTGGAACCAAAGTTTGACTGTATTTTATTTGGAGGTTTGTGTCGTACTTCATGCATTTAGCATTTCTCTCAGTAAAACCTTCTGAGAGTCTGTTGGACATAAACTCCGTAATAAATGTAGTCTACGTTTCATAAGAGGTGTAAAACCTGAGAGCATTTTAAATGTCATCTGAAGGAGAATCTGTATCTGGGTTGTTGATTTCATGTGTGAACGATATGGAGAGGTGAAGCTGTCATCAGGCTGTCATGTGTTACTGTGGGAGTGGTGAGCAGGCCGCTTGATTCGGGGTATTTAGGAGTCAGGTGGTCTGTGAGCGTTTCTATTGGTTAAGAGGTCCTTGGGATGAAACAGTTTGAGAAACACTGATGTAGAGGAAACACTCAGGAGCACGTGATCACCTTTATATACACAGTTCATACTGAGGGACTGACCTGTGTGGTTCTTACGGGGTTTGCCTCCCAGCAACATCTTCAGGCTGTTCCTGAACATGATGGCTCACCCTACACACACACACACACACACACACACACACACACACACACACACACACACACACACACACACACACACACACACACACACACACACACACACACACACACACACACACACACACACACACACACCCCGGGGAGAAGAGACAGAAAAAGAGTCAGAAATTATTCAAATTTTCATTTAAACATTTTAGTGTTATTGTAAACCCCGATCACACCAGTCTGTTCATTTAGAGCATATTCAAATAACAGATACCTCCTTGTTGGCACACACACTCTCTCACTCACACACACATTACATCACACGTCACTTGTTAGTCGCTTTTATCCAAAGCGACTTCCATACTCAATACTGTGGGTAATCCCCACAGGAGCACTTTGGGGTGAAGTGTCTCAGGGACACAACGACATGCTGACTGCAGTGGGGTTTGAACCTTTGACCCCTGATCCCCAGACCAAGGCTCTATCCACTGCGCCACACGCGCCACACACACAGAGAGAGAGAGAGAGAGAGTGAGTGTGTGTGTGTGTGTGTGTGTGTGTGTGTGTGTGTGTGTGTGTGTGTATGTGTGGTGTGTGTGTGTGGCAGCATGCTTTTCTGTCTGCAATGATGAAGATATCATCCGTGTCTTCAGTAAATACGACAGAGGTTACCACACGCATTAATGTAACCCACAGTCTCCCCTCCTCACATGATCTCTGTGTGTGTGTGTGTGTGTGTGTGTGTGTGTGTGTGTGTGTGTGTGTGTGTGTGAACACGCTTGTTTTAAATACTTCATGAGTGTTCTGCAGACAAACCGCTGACTGTGCATGTTTCCAATGCAGTCACTGACATGTAGGCATGTTTATTCTCACACACACACACACACACTCACTCACTCACACACACACACACACACACACACACACACACACACACACACACACACACACACACACACACACCACACACACACACACACACACACACACACACACACACACACACACACACACACACACACACACACACACACACACACACACACAACCCCCCCCTCTTTTACTACAGTGTGACTTTCGAACACACCCAACTCGCCGGCTGGTAATGTTGTTGCTAGGCAACCGGCTGCCGTTGCTAAGCGACACCTTTAATGAGTATGCGTATCAGGAAATAAAGCTTCTGTGTGTGTGTGTGTGTCTGTGTGAGTGTGTGTGTCCGTGTGTGTCCATGTGTGTGTGTCTGTGTGAGTGTGTGTGTCCGTGTGTGTCCATGTGTGTGTGTGTGTGTGTGTGTAAAGACATGGGTCAGAGCTACAGCTCCTGAGCAGAAGGTGAATTAATTAGAGTTTAATGTTAAATCTTTATTTAAAACCTCCAGGTTTTCTCTTAAAGCTGCAGCGTGACATCATGAGTTCATTTAAATAATTATAGCTTTTTTATAGATCAGTCATTAAAATGCAAGAAAGGCAGAAAATGTGTAGATTTTAAAACAAATGAAAGTGAATATCTTTGGGTGTGTGTGTAATGTGTGTCAGTGTGCTAATCCTCTATGACAAGTGAGCAGGAAGTGATGGGATTAAGTCTAGAAAACAAAACTGCAGACACACACACACACACACACACACACACACACACATAGGGTATGTGTCTGGAAGAAACTCATATTGTCTCTTTATGTAAATGCGTTCTATAAACAGAAGCAGACTGGCTTTAGTTTCCCAGTATAATTTAAAATGTGTTTAATAATAAAATAAAAAGCCAATATTTGTCTTTTCCATCCATCCATCTTCTCCCGCTTCTCCGTGGTCGGGTCGTGGAGGTATCAGTTCCAGCAGAGAGCCCCAAACGTTCCTTTCCCCTCATCAACCAGCTCTGACTGGGGGATCCCAAGGCGCTCCCAGGCCAGAGAAGAGATATAATCCCTCCACCTGGTCGTAGGTCTACCCCTCGGTCTCCTCCCAGCTGGACGTGCCTGGAACACCTCCCTAGAGAGGCGCCCAGGTGGCATCCTTACTAGGTGGCATCCTTACTAGGTGCCCGAACCACCTCAACTGGCTCCATTCGAGCGGTTCAACTCCGAGTCCCTCCCGGATGACTGAACCTCTCACCTTATCCCTAAGGGAGACGCCAGCCACCCTGCGGAGAAAACCCATCTCGGCCGCTTGTATCCGCGATCTGGTTCTTTCGGTCATGACCAACTCCTTCATGACCAAAGGTGAGGGTAGGAACGAAGATGGCCCGGTAGACAGAGAGCTTTGCCTTCTGGCTCAGCTCTCTGTTCCTCACACAGTGCGGTAAAGCGACTGCAGTCTGATTCTCCGGCCCACCTCATGCTCCATTGTTCCCTCACTTGAGAACAAGACCCCCAGATACTTGAACTCCTTCACTTTTCCAGACACACAAGGATATATTAATAAACATGGGAGTATAACTAAGTAATATCTGTTAGAGTCTA